AAAAAATTGTTTTTTTTTTTTTTTTTTTTTTTTTTTTCATTAAGAAATTCTTAAGCCTATGGTCACTATAGCTCATCTAAGTGAATTTGTGGCTCATATGCTTTGGTCACCAAACAGTTTTGCTTTAGAACCACCAAAGTTGTAGCTTTTTAAAGTTTTTGGGTTTTTTTGACCACTGTCCTCTCTTTACCTTACTGCTCTTATCTTTGATCTTAAACTTCTCATAATGTGAAACACAATGGGATTCACTTTGGGCAGCATGTGGATTTTAGGAGACAATGGTGATTGTATATCTGAGCTTCTGTCTTCCAAAGAAAAGGCCAGACCATGCTGCTGACCTCAAAGAGCACTGACTGTTAGACAATCGGGTGATAATATAATGTTTAAATTGCTTCAATAACTTTGTTTTCTGAGATACATTTGGGAAAAACTGTCTTTAGGCCAAAAGCAAAGAGCCCAATATATTGAGAGATGGATTTTATCTCTTGAATAGCCATCATATTATTACACATATTGCCAAAAAAGGAAGAATTTATTAAATATTTATACTATGACATGCAATAACATTCTACTTCTTTGTTACATTTAAGTCCTTATGTAACTGAATGTTTACAAGCCAAAAAAAAGTTATGAGAAAACACTGTCACAGACCCATCACTGTGGCCTTGCCAGGACACTGCTTGCTTCCAAACTTTATAATGCGTGTTTATCACATAACCTCAGAGTATCTTTACCAAAGATTTTTAAAATAAATCTTTTTAAATATAGACTTATACTTTTATATAATAATGAATGTGCACACATACATATGCAGAAATATTTAGATTTAGATTTTTTCTTTCACAAGGTATAATAAGGAAAGGATCCTAACAATATTTTATTCTGGGATTTCTTAAATATATGATTTATTACTTTCTTGTCTTTTCCATTAATCACTTGGTCTAAACAATGCCAATCACTCTTCACTGTTTTAGTTACATGAAATGTTGCCTATAACAGAGATTTAAAGATCATATTACCTTAATGATGATAATTCTATTGTCTTTTGATATATTGTCTTAATTGTTGACATTTAAATTCATAAATGATAGAAAAAAATCATAGAGTCTATAAAAGAAAGTTGGTAAAAAAATCTACTGGTTTTAAAAAATTGTCAAGGACACAATATTTGGTAATTCTGTGTAACATGAGAGACATGGGAAAAGGAAAACAACCCACTGTCATAGGCTCCGCAGATCGTTTCAAAATCAGATTTCTTCATTGCCTGGATCCCCAGCTCTTGCTGGCTTAACGTGGAGTCCCATGTGCAAACAAAATTGCCTTTAAAATGTAAAAATCAGTCATGTGTTCCAGCACAAGGCATCGAGGCTTTGAGATCCTGGAAATCTCTGCAGCTCAAAGACGTGGGTTCTTTTTCTTGTCATTAATGGATTGTTTCTGATGGAGCAACTTCTCTGATCAAAATTATTGCATTGGGTATATGCTGACTAATGCAGTGAAGTTATCAACACTATCATTGTTTTCTCACTATGAAAGATCCTTCGGAGATGCTTGTGGTGATGTTTAAAGTATATAGAACTTTAACTACATTTAAACAAGTATTTTTATCTTGGTCCAGAGGAAGAAAGAGCACTTCTACCATGGGGCTGTAGTGAAGGCTTTTGTGGGATACAGAAAGGACTCTGAAACACAACTTCCAACAGTTCTCCTAGTTAGTAAAAATCCTGTTAATGTGAACCAGCCAGGAATAACAGTGTTATTTCTATTTGATATGGCTTGGGCTTCTCTTGTCAAATCTGTGTCTGCTGCCCCCTGATCCCTCTGTTATCAAGTTCTGAAGGGTGTTGGGGAAATGCTGGCAGCTGCTAGGGAGATCAGGGAAACACTGATGTAACCTCACAGCCTCTCGCCATCCCTCTTGGCTTGGAAAGGCTCTTTTCCCATATACATTTCTAGAAATATTGCTGTACTACCTTAGTATTTCACATTTGTAGTTTAAACAAGCGATTGTCCATCTGTTGCCTAGAGCTGTAGTACATGTGTGTTATGAAATATGACAGCATGTTCCATACCCTGCTTTAGCCATCTGTAGAAAACCAGTAGGCTGAAAAAGATATACCTCTGTGAAATGTTCCTCGAGTCCCTTTCCCGAGATTGCTCTTTTGGTGCACTTTCGTGGGAGACAATCAGAGAGCAACATATATGCGTACCTTCTTCTTAAAGACTCTTTACGCTACTACGAATACTCCACCCAAGCGTCTGTAACATAAGTCTTAATCCCCAAATCTCAAAGATATACTCACCAGGAAAGTCCCACAAAATCCAAAGAGGTCTGAACTCTTCATCTTAAACTGTCCTAATGGTATTTCTTTTCTCTTTTTTGTCTTGAAAGTACCTTACAGATTTCTAAATTGGGGAAACATTCTTAATGTCCCCGNAGGTCTGAACTCTTCATCTTAAACTGTCCTAATGGTATTTCTTTTCTCTTGAAAGGTCTTGAAAGTACCTTACGGATTTCTAAATTGGGGAAACATTCTTAATGTCCCCGAGGTGATGTGTTGGATGTTGTTAGTGATTATGTTTGGTCTTACTCTGGTTTTAGGAGGATAATGAAGACAAGACTTCACTTTGAACCTTTAACAGCCATTCAGCATATCTGCTTTCTAAAACTGCCATAGTTTTGTGGATTGGGGGTGGGGGGTAATTTAAGAGTGGACAGAACAAGTTGAGAGTCCTAGTTCTGTGTCATTATGGTGCAACCATGAATATTTCAGGTCAAGTTACATATCTGACATAAATATAATGAAAATCTTCTCGTGAGGCTGTTGTTTGGTTAATATATAGCTTCAAACCTTTAAAGATTTTCTGATTGAAGCTGTGCAACTTAGGGAGAAGTCTTCCTTACTGTTTCCCTTCCTCTTCTTCTCTCTCTTTGTCCTTTTGTCCTTCCTCTCTTACCTTCTTTCCTCCCTCCTTTCCATCCTACCTATTAATGTTACCCTGCTTGGGCTTTTCATAAATAAGTCAATGCATTGTGGTCCTTATGGTATTGTGATCATAATAAGGGAAGGCTACCATGAAATGTATGTAGCATCCATAAACCCTTTCTTTAAAAGGACATACTTCCCAGATAGTGTTTATCTGTAAAATAAGATGAGATGATAGAGTCTTTGGGTTTTATCTTAATGAGTTTTCATCAGAGCCTCAGATCAGAGTTCTTGGTAAATTCATATATGACTGCCCCCCTTTTCTCAGATAAATGCAAAGTAATCTTTCTAAGGCTAGGTTAAGATTCTTTTTTTTTTTAATCCAAAGCATCTTTGACCAACAAAAGAAGGATACTTTTAGTGGTGGCATGTTATTTGAT